AATTTTTAAAAGTTGTAAAATTTGTCAAAGTTCTCCTTAAAATTTTCAAAATCATTTTATTTCTCGAAGTGCTTAAAGATCTTGAACTTCGTCTTTAGAGTTCTCAAGTTCTCAAAGTTTTTGAATTTATAAAGTTTTTGATATTTTTAAAATTCTCGAAATTCTAGAAGTTCTTTAATGTCTTAAATTAATTTTTGAAGTTCTCAAAATTTTCATCGTACCTAGTGTCTTTGAAGTTCTCAAAATTTTCAAAATTCGCGAAGTTCTAGAAATTCTGCAAATTCCCAAAATTTTCAAATGTCTTAAAGTATTTAAATTTCTTACAGTTGTTCTTGCAGTCCTCAAAGTCCTTACAGTTTTTAAATGTTTCCAAAGCTTTTAAATCCTTTGAAATTTTTGGAAAGATTAATGTTCTCAAAATTCTCCAAATTCCCAGAAATTCTCAAAGTTCTCTTAGGTCTCGAAAATTTCCGAAAATCTCAAATTTCTCAGAATTGTCAAAGTCGTTTAAGTTCTCGAAGTTACGTTAAAGTTCGTAAAGTTCTTAAAGTTGCTAAAGTTCTTGAAATTCTGAAAGTTCACAAAGGCCCCAAAATTTTCAAGGTTATTAAAGGTTTTGAAGTGTTTAAAATTTTTGAAGTTATCAAGGTCCCCAAATTTCTTGAAGTTTTCGAAGTTCTTGAAGTTCTCAAAGTTCCGAAAGTTTTTTTGATATTTTTTAAATTCTCGAAATTCTAGAAGTCCTTAAATTTCTTAAATTAATTTTTGAAGTTCTCAAAATTTTCATCGTATTTAATGTCTTTGAAGTTCTCAAAATTTTCAAAACTCGCAAAGTTCTAGAAATTCTGGATATTCCCAAAATTTTCAAATGTCTTAAAGTATTTAAATTTCTTACAGTTGTCCTTGCAGTCCTCAAAGTCCTTAAAGCTTTTAAATGTTTCCAAAGTTTTCGAAGTTTTTAAATCCTTTGAAATTTTTGGAAAGATTAGTGTTCTCAAAATTATCAAAATTCCCCGAAATTCTCAAAGTTCTCTTAGGTCTCGAATATTTCCTAAATTCTCAAATTTCTCAGAATTGTCAAAGTTGTTTAAGTTCTCGAAGTTACATTAAAGTTCTTAAAGTTTGTAAAGTTCTTAAAGTTCTTGAAATTCTGAAAGTTCACAAAGGCTCCAAAATTTTCAAGGTTATTAAAGATTTTGAAGTGTTTAAAATTTTTGAAATTATCAAGGTCCCCAAATTTCTTGAAGTTTTCGATGTTCTTGAACTTCTCAAAGTTCCGAAAGTGTTTCAAATTATTACGTTTTTTAATGTTTCAAAATTTCTTAAAAATGTTGAAAATTTTAATTTTTTAGGTTTCCTGAAATTCACAAAGTTCTTAGAGATTTTGAAGAGAGAGAATCTTTTAAATTATTCAAAGTTTTCGAAGTTGTTAAATTTTTTGAAATTTTTGAAATTATCAAAATTTTCAAAATTCTCAATTTTCGCGAAATTCTCGAAGGTTTCGAAGTTATCCAAGGTCTTAAAATTCTTAAAATTCCCGAAGATTTCTAAGTTCCTGAGTTTTCCAGAAATCTCAAAGTTTCAAAAATTCTTAAATATTTTGAAGTTCTCTTTGTTTCTAATGATTTTAATGTTCTTAAAGTTTCTAAAGATTTCAATTTTCACAAAATTCTCAATAATCTTAATCTTTTTGAAGTTCTGAGATATCTTAAGTTATTTAAACTTCTTACAGTAATTCTTACACTCCTCAAAGCCCTTCATTTATAATTTTTTTCAAAGTTTTCGACGTTTTCAAATTTTTGGAAATTTTTAAAATGATAAAAGTTTTCAAAATTCCCAAAATTCTTCGAATCTCTCAAAGTTCTCAAAATTTTATTAGGGTTCTTAAAGTTTTCAAAGGCCTTTAAGTTTTTGAAGTTTTGAAGCTCACAAAGATATTAAAATGCTCAGAGTTCTCGAAGGTCTCGAAATTTTCAAGGTTCTCAAAGGTCTCAAAATTTTCAAAGTCAAAATTCTCAAAGTTCTTTTAGGTCTCGAAAATTTCCGAAATTTTCAAATTTGTCAGAATTATCAAAGTTGTTTAAGTCCTCGAAGTTACACCAAAGTTCTTGAAATTCTGAAAGTTCACAAAGGCTCCAAAATTTTCAAGGTTATTAAAGTTTTTGAAGTGTTTAAAATTTTTGAAATAATCAAGGTCCCCAAAAAAGTTTTCGAAGTTCTTGAAATTCTCAAAGTTCCGAAAGTTTTTCAAATTATTACGTTTTTTAAAGTTTCAAAATTTCTTAAAAATGTTGAAAATTTTAGTTTGTTAGGGTTCCTGAAATTCGCAAAGTTCTTAGAAATTTTGAAGAGAGAGTGTGTTTTAAATTATTCAAAGTTTTCGAAGTTTTTAAATTTTTTGAAACGTTTAAAATGATAAAAATTTTCAAAATTCTCAATTTTCGCGAAATTCTCGAAAGTTTCGAAGTTCTCCAAGGTCTTAAAATTCTTAAAGTTCCCGAAGATTTCTAAGTTCCTGAGGTTTCCAAAATTCTCAAAGTTTCTAAAATTCTGAAATATTTTGAAGTTTTCTTTGTTTTTAATGGTTTTAATAAGCTTAAAATTTCTAAAGATTTTAATTTTCACAAAATTCTCAATGAACTTAATCTTTTTGAAGTTCTGAAATATCTTAAGTTATTTAAACTTCTTACAGTAATTCTTACACTCCTCAAAGCCCTTCGTTTATAAATTTTTCCAAGTTTTTCGAACTTTTCAAATTTTTGGAAATCTTTAAAATGATAAAGATTCTCAAAATTCTCCGAAACTCTCGGTTTTCAAAATTTTTAGTGTTTAAAATTTCATTAGGGTTCTCAAAGTTTTCAAAGACCTTCAAGTTTATGAAGTTTTGAAGCTCACAAAGGTATTAAAATGCTCAGAGTTCTCGAAGGTCTCGAAATTTTCCAGGTTCTCAAAGGTCTCAAAATTTTCGAATGTCAAAATTCTCCTTAAAGTTCTTTTAACGTTTTTCAAGTTTTCAAAATTCTCAATTTTCCAGAAATTCTCGAAATTCTTAAAATTCCCAAAGTTCTCTAAGCTCTTAAAGTTGAAGTTTTTGAAATTTTCGAATTTATACTGAATGTTTTCTAAAAAATCTTAATATACCTATTAAAATTTTTTAAGAATTTTCTCAGTATTTTCGCATAATTCATCTATAGTTTATTGCTACAGGTAACTGTGTGTTTGTTTTTTTGTAATTTCTGCACCCAGCGTTGATAAATTCTGCATCTCACAAATTTGTTCAAAAATAATGTCATGAAAAGTAAAATTTCTAAAATCAAATTTTATAATTGTTCGAAGAAACTAGTTTCATTGGGCTGTACTTCAGAAACGAGGGAGGTTCAGCTTTCTTTCGAAAATTTTTTCCATGGTGAACGACGTCTAGAAATATCTCTATAATCTCAAAATAACTGCTCATAAATTTATTTATTATCCCGGGACCTTCACCATATTTTGCCAAAGAATTAAATTTGCATAAATTATTCCGAAAATGGGTTTATCAGATGGAAAATCTTCCACAAGCTGTATGTCTGCGTCTATATCCATTATATATATTAAAATATAGAAATATTTTAACAATTCACAATATAAATGCTTTGATACGTATTTATTATCCCGGCGCCTCCACCATTTTTACGATAAAATTAAATTCGATAATTTAGTCCGAAGAGAGGTTATTTTATCTGAAATTATCTCAATATCACAAATCTCTATATATTTTGTTCGCATTTATCTTTGTCTCTTTAGTTCGGTTATTCCTATTTTTCCTTGGATCAGCCAGATTTCACGAATTTCGTCCAAAGCATTTTTGTAATTTTTGTGTTCTATGTATATGCAATCAAAAAATAATATACCGTTTATCCTAGAACAAAATACAATTTACCTTCCCCTCGTAAAATGTTGTGAACATAGCACACGCTCTACGTTACCTTAAACAAAATGACGTTTTTCCATAAACTTTAAAATGTAGCAAAAAGTAAACACATTATATTGTATTAAAGCCACAGCAGTTGTGCGACGCTTTATTGTCACAGAAACTGGCTTTTAACGCCATTTTGCCCGAGGATACTATTTTGTCCCAGTTTTCCATGCTAGGTATTCGCAGTTAACTTGGCCAAGATAAAGTTTACAAGGCCAAGAAAATTTCATTCTATATTAAAATTTTATCGTGTGGGAGCAGTTATTAAGCCGCTATTTTATTAAAATCACGACGTTGCCGACATGGCTGTAAATTTTACTGTGCCATAATTTGGCTAATGAGTACGCCAAAATTAAGTTGTTTTCATAGAGGAGTAATTGCTTTAGCTCGGTCGGCAGAAAAACCTTTCATTTTAACTTTCATGTATGAGTGGGTGTCGTGTTTGGATAGAGCTTGTCAGTGCGTTTTACTTACTGTTTTCAAACAATATTGAAAGGGTAAATTGTGTAGGGAATTTTAGAAATTTCTACCTACCGTGTATTATTAAAATTGATTTTTAGATTGTTTAGCTGTGTTTCGACGTACCATTTCACCATGTTTAATTATTTTAGTTACTAAGATGAAATGAAAAGTAAGTAGGTACATGGTAAATTTTCATTAAGTTGAGCTTAAATTGTTATTCTAAACTTTAATACTGTCACTTACACGAACGATGGTTTAATTTCATGTTCAAAGTGGAACATAATTAACATCAAAATGGCACAAGTTCAACAAAAAATTACTTCATTGTATTTGCCTCAACAAATATTTTTTAATAATATTAGCAATTAGTCAGTGATTTATTTGCCGGAACGAACGAATTAATTAATTAACCTCAGACAAACATCGCTTGTGTAATAATTCCAGGCTGATATTTCGTCCTCTGATCCTACCCTTTTCCGAATACCTGAATTTATCATTGGCGATACACGAAACTTCTAAACCTAGCATAAAACGAAATAAGAGAAAACTTATAAAATAAACCATTCCGGACATATCTGCTTACCCGGATTGGAGACTTCGCAGGGCAATATGACCGTATCCTTATCTGTGACCTTAAACACTTGACTTGACGTGAGGAATGTGGGTAGTGTGGCCGGGTCGACCTTGATGCTGGCTTGCCAGGATTCTGGAAAGAGGACAATAATTAGAGACACATGTCCGTGGCGATCCATTTGCCGACATTTAGTTGCTCGAAAGCTTCCTAATATCACCGCATTCACCAGCTAATGCTGATGGCCTGGTAAATTATCCCATTCCAGACCAACACTTATCATTACGGGCACAAAACAACGAAGCGCATCCAGAAATGTTGGGCAAGCATTTTTAACACCCGGGAGGGTGAAAGTTTAGGTATGGAGGTTTCTACGCATCTGAAGGTTTAAGCTTCCCGAGTATAGTTGATTTTTCGATAGAGCTTTAGCCACATACTCTGTTAGGCTTGTCTATAATAACAGTAATAGAATGCAATTAAATAACTTTTTTTTCAAATCCAAGGGAAGATAACTCCAGAATGGATAAAGAATTATCATTGTGGTTTAAAGTAAACTTCCTGGTCCTATGAGGTAACTTTCAGACCCAAGAAGCAGTTTTGTTCAAATTTATCGGTAGATAACTAAATAAGTTCCAAAATCCTCAAATATCTTAAAATATTTAAAGCTTTTACAGTTATAGTTCTAGTTTCAAAGTCCTTAAAGCTTCGAAATTGTTCTAAAGTTTTCAAAGTTTTTAATTTTTTTCAAATTTTTTACATAATCCATGTCAAACTTCTCAAAGTTCTCAAAGTTTCAAGAGTCCTTAAAGTTCTTAAATTTCTTTCAGGAAAAGTTGTAGAAAAATTCTCAAAAAATTCTGGTACGTAGATTTCCAGATGCTGATTCCAAAAATATAACGTATTAATGGTGCCGGATCAAGATTTTAGAAATATTTGGATTTAAAATTATTATTTTTTTTTATTCAAGAATCGCAAAGTTTAAAAAAATTATAAAAAAATGAGATCGAAAGTTACTTCTGAGGTTGAAATCTACAATAAAATATCTTTACATGAGATTCGAAAATGGTCGAAAATTGGTTGAAATTTTCCTAGGAAAATGGAAATCCGATAAATTCTGCTTTTAGAAGAGTTACCAAACAATCCCAAAAAATTGTGGGAGATAGATCTCTATTTGCTCATTCAAAAAATATACCGTGTTTTGATCCCGGCTCAAAATTTTGGGAAATATTCCGTTTAAAATTCAATTTTTTTTTAAATCCAAAAATTTAAAAAATTTTAGTTAGAGAAGTGGTAATAATAATTAGCGAAAAAATTAAGCCGAAAATAGCTTTTTGAGGTCGCAATCTACAAGAAAATTGGTCAAAAATTGGGCGAAGTTTTCCTAGGGGGATGCTGAAAAATTTTACATTTGGAAAATTTGTTCAAAAATTCCCAAAAAATTCTAGCATGTAAACGTCGACGTTTTGATATCAAAAAAATGCCGTAAAATCCAAAAATTTTAAAATTTTAATTAGTAATACTGGAAAAAACCAGACCAAAAAGGAACTTCTGGATGTCGAAGGGGAGTGATTTTTGTTCCGAGTAATATATTTGGGGACCTGCCTAAAAACTAAGTGAACTATGCATACATTTTCATAATATATTAAAAAGCTACTCAGTACTTCCTTCAGAGATGTCTAGCCGCTCTAAACAGATTTTTAAAGTTATTTGGCCTTTCGATTTTTCGATTTCATAATTTTTATGTTTTCAATTTTTTAATTTTTCAATTTTGTAATATTTTTATGTCTCGATATTTCGATTCTTCAATTTTTCGATATTTTGATTTTTAGATTTGTCAGTTTTTAAGTTTTTCTGTTTTTCAATTTTTTGAATGATTAAATTTTAAATTTTTGTTTTTCATATTTTATATTTTTTGGTTTTTAAAACATTCGATGTTTCAGTTGTTCGACTTTCCGTTTTCCCAAATATTCGATTTCGCTATTTATCGACTTGTCGATTTAATTTTTCTATTTTGGGCTATTTGGATTTTCCGATTTTTTGACATCTGATTTTTCGATTTTCCAATTTTCAACGTCCGTCCCAATTATTCGATTTCCCAATTTTTCGACACTTCAGTTTTGTGATTTTTCAATTTTTCGGGTTTTTAGATTTCACATTTTCGACTGCCGCATTTTTGATATAATTTTTTGATGCCTCGATTTCTCGACTTTTTAATTTTGTAATATTTCTATTTTTGGAATTTTCGTTTTCTCGACTTCGCCGGTTTTCGATTTTTAAAATTATTCGACATTTTATCAATGTCCCGACTTTCGGTCTCTCGATTTTTCGACTTTTTGGCTTTTCGATTTTCCAGTTTTTCGATCATTCAATTTTTGGATTTTTCAATATTTCGCTTTTTTCAATTTTAAGTTTCTTGATTTTTTACTTTAATTGCAAAATCTTTATTTCTCTGCAAGAAATTACAGTGAGAAACATGTCTTAAGTATCCTGTTGTTGCAACAAAAATAATATAAATGTATTAAAAAAAAACAAGCGAACGATTAAGTGATTTGAGGTTGTCAAAGGTCTCAAAAAATGTATAAAAGTTGCCCAACTTAAAGTACTTAAAGTTGGTGCAGCTGGTGAAATTGTTGCAGTTTAAATTAAAATTAATAATAATTAATAAAAGAATCTTAAGATATTAGAATATTTTAAGGGTCACATCTCAATATTTTCACACAAAATATTTGTTTAATTGTTGCGGCTTACTCTGTTTTTGTTCTTTTAAATTTCCTACACCTAAGTTTGACAAATTCTGAATCTCACAAAGTTTTTCAAAAATCAGGTTATCAAAAAAATCTCTATATACATATTAAGAAGAGTAAGCTAATGATTAAGCCCCACTCACCCGCCCTTACCTCAGTTGTGAAAAATATTTCATCGTTGTCAGATCTAGGGGCGGAGCTTAATTGCAATGTCCATTGCTGTCTACAAAAATTTATCATTATAAATATTAAGAGAACAAGTCCAAATGTAAGCCCCGCCCACCCGCCCCCGCCTCAATTGTGATTATTGTTTTTATTCATCGTGAACGGGGGCGGAGCTTAATTTGTGAGCTTTTTTTCAGATCAGTTACTAGATTCATTTCTTAGCAAGAAAAAATATAAGGACTTGGTGATCTAAGAATCAAATAACAGGGTTTTCTTTTTAAATTTACTGAAAACGACACAAAAATTTGCGCTACTGTGTAGAAGATTTGATTCCTTGAAGCTTCTCATGAAATAAATTTCGGTCTAGATACTCGATCCGTTTAGTATGGTGAGAAATATATGTGCGATGGTGTTATTTTAGAATTAATAAACAGCTTTTCTTTTCAAATTTATCTGGAGATAACTCCAGGTCGCCTCGAGAATTCGCACTGCGGTTCGGAGCATCCGATTCATTCGTTAGAGTGAGGGATGAATAATTCAAAAATTGTATATTTCTTCACAAAAATTTACCATTTTATACATATTTTAAGTACCTTGTTGTGAAAAGAAGGCCACGTATAATAATAAAAAAAGGCTAAATATAAGCCCCACCCACCCGCCTTCACCTCAATTGTAATTCTTTTTTTTTTTATTCGTTGTGAGCCGGGGGTGGAGCTTAATTGCAAAATCCTTGTTTCTCTCCAAGAAATCACCGTGTGAAACATGTTTCAAGTATCTCGTTGAAAGAAAAATAATACATATGTATATGTTAAGAAAAACAAACCAATGATTAAGCCCCACCCACCCGCCCATACCTCAAGTGTGATGAATTTTGGATTTGGGGTCAGATCGAGAGGCGGAGCTTAATTACAAAATTCATATTTGCGTAGAAAAATGTATGATTTTAAACATGTTTTCAGTTTCTTGTTCTACCTATATTAAGAAAAAAGGCTAATAATGAACCCCGCCCACCCACCCCCGTCTCAATTGTGAGAAAATATTGTATTTTTTACTTCCCGAACGGAAGCAAAGTAAGTATTGTAATCAGGTCCGTCGGCCATTGACTTTCTACTTTTACGTTTTCTCGACCTTTCAATGGCCCCTGGAATACGAAGAAATAGGTCTCTCCCTACAAAAATACTATTTCGTCAACGACTGACCGTTTGTTGACACATATGATGTCGAGATTGTGCAAAATGCAAAATTGGCCACTTCAGGGCGTTCCAGTAATTTATGACTTGTAGCCAGTCCGCCGCCTGCCTAAGTTTCGTTTGCAGTATCGTTTTTCATTTTTAATTTGCTTTTTTGATCGTTGAATAATTACTTACGTTCAGTTTCTTGTTTCGATTTAGAAGATCACGTGTTTAAGAAAAAAAGGTAAAATATAAACCCCGCCCACCCGTCCTCTCTCAATTCTGATGAATTTTTCATTCGTTGTCAGACCGAGGGGCAAAATTGCAAAATCCATATTTGTCTACCAACATTTACCATTTTGAACAAGTTTTAAGTTTTTTCTTGTGAAAAAAAGACCCGTATATTAAGAAAAATAAGGCAAAATGCAAGCCCCGCCCACTCACTATCTCAGTTGTCATGATTTTTTAATTCGTCGCGAGCCGGAGGCGGAGCTTAATTTCAAAATCCTTTTTTTTTCACAAGAAATTACTATGTGAAACAAGTTCTTAAGTAAATGTGTTATTCAAAGAAAACAAAAGATATTAAGTAAAAAAGAAAGCTTATACCCGCTCCGATCTAAATTGTGATGAATATTTCATTCTTTGTCAGATGGAGAGGCGAAGCCTAATTGTAAAATTCTATTTCTCTACGAAAATTTACCATTTTAGACATGCTTTAAGTTTCTCGTTGTGAAAAGAAGACTACGTATATCAAGAAAAAAATAAACAAAATACATATGTGTAAGTTCTGTAACTATAACAAGAAAATGAATTAATGTACTTTTTTTTGGAATGCGTAAGTCTAAAAATTGAATGAAATTTATTGAAGAATGGATAGAATTGATAGTTTTTGCTTCTTGCTATATTGTTCATGAAACTTTCTGCTAAAAATGGCGATAGAGAAGGTAAGATATTTCTATAAAAATAAAATTCTTTAGCGTCAAATGAATAATTATGGAAATATTTTCATAAAATAATAGTTGAATTTTTTCTATTGTTTTGTCGTGAGTTTTAC